TGAAAGTGGAATGAGGAAGATGAGGCTAGGAGGGAGGCGGACTCTCTAGGGTTTTTTGCTGGAGGAAGGAGGAAGTGAATAGTGACCCTATATATACATGAATCAGACACGTGGCAGCTTTGACTAATGACTGATTAAATGACTAATGATGATGCTAAAGGATTAATTACAGTGCTGATGATGGTTAATGCAAAATGGTGATTAATAATTAAGGAAAAAAACATTGATTAATAACTAACATAACCAAATTAAATCTTACTAACAATTAAAATCCTAACTAAACTAATAATAATATAAATCCTAATTAAACTTAATTAAATTAGCCTAAAATTAAAAAGACCTATTTCTAATAAGAAAATTAAAATCTATTTAAAAAATTGAAATAATCTAAACTATTTTTTAAAAATTCTATATTTTAAAAATAAACTATTTCTAAAAAATATACTAAACAAAGAAATAAAAATCTATAAAAACTCTAAAAAAACTTTAATATCTAAAAGTTATTTTCTACTTTCTAAAAAAATATTAAAATCTTATTTAAAATGAAAATTTAAACGAAAATGTGTACAAAATAATATATTTGAAAAGAAAAAGGAGAAAATAAAAATGAAAATAAAATTTACAAAAATACCCTTTGGCCACGTGTCACGCTCCTATTGGGCAAAAAAGTCGAGATTTGAAAAACGCACAATCGGGAGTGGACACGTGTCTAAACGGCATGAAATTAAGTAAAAAAGCAAAATAGAAAATGCGAAAATATTTACAAAAGCTGGCGGGCAAATTTAGGGTATGACAGGCGTAATTTGGGAGGGGCGAAATTAGTGGTCCCCAGGTAATCCCTATAAAGGGCGTAAAAGGTATAAAAATCCCCAAATCATGAATGACAAAGAGATGCATGTAAAAAAAGGGCGGACAAACCCCCTAAAGTTTCCATGTTAACTTTTTCTATGTTTGAACAGGGCTCCAAGATTACATCCTCTTTCTGCCCTATACTTAAGAACCCAAAAATTTAATAGAACCTTGCAATCTTATCTGAGTCAAAATATAAGATATGATATCTCGAACATGGACACGCTTAGCATTCTTCGTGGCCTTCCATTTCTGAAGAAATGAAAGAGAATAAATGTTGTAGTAATTTGATTCCTGAGAGCTTAACGAACCCCAAAATCGTCTCTTCTCCTATCTATGCTTAGAGGTCAGAGAAGCACTACAACACCTATGAAACTTCTCTGATTAAGCCATCAAAAACTCTAACATTGAAAGGAAAAGGTCTTTCTGAAAAGTAAACATGGGCCCTTTATAGGGAAAAACCAATAGCACGAGCAACATACTTGCCTAGTAGCGCAATTGTTGGAGAAGTGGAAGAGGTTTTACACATTAAGAACACGCGTATGGAAAGAAACTAGAATGTGTTCCCCCATTAAAAGCATCATGAGTAACATTAAATGCCACGCGTGCTTTTTTCCCACTTAACAATCAAATTTCCATATTGACTAATGTTTTGAAGTCTCTAAAAAACACTTGATTGATGTTTGATATCCCTCATTTGACACACGAGCTACGCATGAGACACCTAGAAGGGGCTTGATGACTCATCCTCTATTGAGGATCTCGCCTCTAACTAAGGAATCCGCTCGTAGATGTACTCACCCTTGATTGAGAAACCCATTCATAACTGAGGGACTCACCCTAACTACGTGATTCACCTAAAAGAAATGAAGGGCTTAAAATTATGTGGAAGAAGAGCTTAATAACTCTTCCCTTTACAAGTCTTCGTGCTTGAGGGACTGTGTAGTGATATTTTGTAAAGGACCCACAATAGAGTGATATGGTATCAGTTTTCATCAGGCGCATATCCTAGAATATTTCGCTTGGGCGTGATTCCTAATCAGTGGTATGCTCGTCTACATGAGAAACGTGGATGGTGACATGTATACAATCCATAACCACGTGAGGAAGTGGTCAAGGCCATGATACCCTAAGTAATAGGTAGTTAACATGTTCCCTTATCGAGGGGGAGAGGTTACTGCTTCTCAAATTCTCAAATCTAGACTCATAGACCTCTAAAAATACCTCAATATTAGGGTTGAAGGGATTAATCCATTATTTACCAAAAATGCCCCAAATACAAAGCCTCTCACCCTCGTGAGCTTGCTCTAACCCAATAGAAAACACCTCTAAAATAGGGTTTCTCACCACCGTGAGTTTGCCTTAACCACCGTAAACTATAAAGCCTCTGATAACCCACACCAGTAAGGTTGTTGTGAATCTGTACTTTTTTAGCAAGCACGCCTTTCAACCATGTGATCCCCTTGCATTTAGTATCGATGATCTCAACATCATCGGGGGTGAGTTGTGCTGTCACATAATCTTATCCCCCAAGGTTTTCTAAAGGTCCCTTGAAACATGATTGTCGTTGATTCGAGAGGATAACACATTCCTCCAGAAGAACTCTTCTTCATCTCGAGATCTTTCTAAAAAGGAGAAGTGATTATTCTAATAGCACGACGAGCTGTCACATAGGTCACATCCTTTATATCTTCATATGTGTCGTCCTCCATGATTGTCACGATGTTTCCGTACCTTGTGGACGCGATTATTGAATTTTCTGAGTATAAGTGTTTTACTTGATATGGATTGATATACAATATTGAAGCCCTTAAAACCTATTTTGTCCGATTTAAATTGAATCAAATTTTTTTATTAATATAATTTATAGAAGAGTATTCAATGACATTTTTTTTACTAAATTCTCAACACATATTATTGATATCTTACACATTAGAAATCTTACTAGAAAATGATACTAGTAGAAATACTTCGTCCGTTTTAAAATGACTATCGTTTTAGTAAGTAAAATTTGTTTTAAGATGAATGTCATTTTCACCTTTCAATGTAGAAATGATTGTTATTTTTTAAATTGTGCCCTTTAATTATTACTTGTATGCTACTTCGAATACATTATAAGTTTAATTTAGTAAAAATTTAGTGATATTTTATGACAATATAATTATATTTTTTAACCTATGTACAAAAATCTTAAACGACAGTCATTATAAAACAGAGGAGTACTATTTGACATTTTTATTACTTTGATAAGGTACCAACTTTGGTCTTCTACGTAACTTGAGAATCTTGTCAACCTATACCTTATAAGTATTTTGATTTTTTGCCTCCAATATCCCAATTTTGAAAATCAATTTTTATTATACCTCACTTTAAAAAAAATTTAAATTGTCCTTGTTTGTGAAAGGAGTGGTTGATTTATTAGTCAAAGATGTGCATGAAACTTTTTATAAAAAAAAAAAAAAAAATAAAAAAACCTCAAGAGAGTGTACATATAACTAGTGTACATTAAATTAAAAAAAAATAATAATAAAATATTCAGACCCTAATTTAATGAATTGTCGAAGATATATTTAAAAGGAAGACATTGAAGAACATAGGCCAATGAATAACCGAGGAGCCTCTCCTTTAGATAGGGCATCTTTGAACATTTTTTTTTCGAACTATATAAATTTTATATATTTTTTTCGAACTATAGTAAATTAAAAAATTTATTTCAAAAAGTATTTTACCAATTCACTCTTGTCACCTCATGATAAGATCATAATTGTAGCACTTGCTATATGGCAGCTTATTAACAGTAGCACGTGAATTGCTGACGAGTAAAACGTAGCATAGTTGTTGTTGTAAACAGAGAAGGACAAACAATAGTGTGTCCCCCAACTTGGTCCCGTGAAAAAGAGGAAACACTTTCACGGTCCCCACAAACACAAACCCAACTTGCACAACCTTGCTTTCCTCATTCATTCCCCCTTTTCTACGTTCGGTCAAACCTACACCACACAATTGCCCCTAAATTATTTCCCACTATGACCAACCAATAATATTTCACAACATACGAGTACTATTCTCTTCTTTCTTTCTTTTTTCTTATCATATAGGAGTAGTTTTCTCTAACGTTATGTCTCTTTACGTTTTAATTTTAAATACAAAACAGTAAACAAAAAATATAAATGAACCGACATTACTAAATTAGGTATAACATATTAAATATGGAAAAATTTGGACCTTGCAGTTGCAAGTGGTAAAGAGCAAGTTGGAATAATACCACAATACCCCACTTGACATTATAGACTAAACCAAAAAGCATACGATTTTAATTATATTTTTCGCTGAGACGCTCCTGTCATCATCTATTATATTTGTTCCGCTCCTGTCTTAACCGTTTTGCTTGTTCCGCTTCAGTCCCTCTTTCTCCGTTTTGCTTACATTTTTTTGTTAACCTAGCTTAGAGTCATATCATCTATTAGATTTGTTCCACTCCAGTCCATTTCGCTAATTTCTTTTTTGAACTTTTGTGGGATGGAGCTAAACTTTGCAGGGCAGATGTAACTCCTTTTTCCCATTTACAACCCCTAGGTTTGAATGAGATTGAGGACCTCGTTAAGCCTAACTTATAATTGACCAAAAAACCTCCCTTATGTTAGGTTAATGCCAAAACCAGTCGATGTGACAAGACTATTATCCATATGTGAACACTAGTCACAACTGAAAACTGCTTTCAACAGCCTTTGCATATTGTCCTATTCTCATATTACATCTAAATAATCTTATTTGAAAAGTTTAACTTGTTTCTCATCTACCACACCATCATTGTACCTCCATTTTGTATATAACATATCAAAAATATAACTTAAAGCAAGCACCATATCGAGCCAGACAAAGTGTACTGCACATACACATCTCAGGAGCATTCTCAGAGTATACTAGAGACAGAACAAAAACCACAAAATCATTTCATTGCCCGTGTAGGGAATAATAATAATAAATGTGTCATTGCCAACACTACTCAAATCAATTCAATTGCCATAAACAATCAAAGAACGCCAGTGAGAAGGAAGAAAAAATGTTTCAACTCATAAATCTAATGCCTTATACGTAAACAATTATGAATGGAGAAAACCAGGTTAGTTGTGGCTAAAATTCATAGAATGTTAGCTATGTTGATCCATAGAGCCTATAACATGAAAATCAAGCCCTCTTGTCCTTCCCGGTGCACCCCCTTTTAGTGAGGAAACATCTAACATGATCCTGTCAAGTTTAAATGAAACATCAACACCTTACCCGCTAAAAAAGTAAGGAAAATTATAGAACTAATCTGAATGGTCCAGTACTTACAAGTTCTTTGACTCTTTATCTGGTCCAGAAGAGATGCAGTTTATGATGATTTTGTCATCGAGTTTAGACACCGAAGGATCCATTGGTAGATTAATCTCTTTAGGTGGGGCTAGATTAACAGGTTATATACAATGTCAATATAATATATCTTGACAATCGATTGTCTTGGCTTTAAAAATTGAAACTATACTCAGTTTCACTGATTTAAAAAATTCTTACCTGATTTCGATGAAGCTGTGACAAAACCATTAAGTCCCAATAATTTCTGCATCAATGGATATACTTATATTAGGAAGATGAGAAGACTATTTTAAGACTTGGGAAGTTTTGTATTTAGCAGGAGTTGTTACCTTAAGTCCCTCATAAGACTCCTCAAGATTGTCATTGTATAAGATGAAATCGAATATATTGGAAGACTTTCCTTGTTCGATTTCAGCCGAGGCGTTACGCAGTCGCTTAAGGATCTGCTCCTCTGTCTCAGTCCCTCTGGTTTCAAAGCATTAAGTTAAGCCTAAATTTCAGACGGAATGAAAATTAATTATGCATCACTAAGCGGCCACTACTCACCTGTCACGAAGGCGCTTCTCAAGCTCTTCCATTGATGGGGGGCAGATAAAAATGAATATGGCTTCAAGAGAACTAGCCTTCACTGATCTTGCTCCTTGAACATCAATATCAAGAATACATCTCTGCAAGTAATATAGTCACGCTATTGAGATCTAATCATATCAATGAGATTTTGCCTAATGTAATGCAAGGTTATGTTGTGCTTCTAACAAAGCTTTATAATCCACATGGTTCAACAATAACGACTCAAGATGTTAAGACAATCCTTACAATCTAGATGTTATAGATGCTTGTATAAAAATCGATCAATTAAATGAATTAGAATAATAGTGAAGTAGAAAGAACTTACTTTTCCTGCATCAGCCACAACTTCAACAGCTTCAACACTGGTCCCATACAAATTACCATGTACAGAAGCAAACTCGAGAAAGTTTCCATTTTTAATCTCTTTCTCCATCACACTCTTGTCAGTAAAATGGTAATGGACCCCATTCTTCTCCATATCCCGCGGAGCACGAGTGGTGTGGCTCACAGAAAAACCAAACATCGATGGGAATTCCTTCATGAGCATTGATATCAGCGTTCCTTTACCAACTCCAGAAGGACCACTAATAACAATAGGTTTCTCAGCATTGCCAATCACACCCTTACTCCATGCAACAACCTCTGTCCCCAATTTTTTCCGCTGCTGCCTAACATATTCAGTGTCCACCTGGTAATTATTACAAAAAGTTTAGCATTTTTTCCATAGCACCGCACCGACACTTCTGATCGAAGGCATGTCAGTGACAACAACAACAACAACAACAACCCATATGATTACATTCAATTATGTATTTTTTCTCAAATTACACCAATGTGAAGTGAACCATGTCGGTGCTTCATAATTTATAATACAATTTAGAAATCTACAATGCACTGCTATAGTCCCTTCATATACTCACTCACCTCTAGGAACCATATTTGATCATCTGGTTTAGAACCCTTCTTAAGAACAAGAATCCGGTTCTCCAAAACCACAGTCGAATGGCCTTTGCATGACAAAGGTTTGGTTCCTAGCACAGTTGGGTAAACCCTGCAAAATCCAAAATGATTATGAGTAACAAAAAAACCTTACAAAAACATCTATGAAGCTAAGAAACTTCAAACTGACCATTCTCCAAGACTAGGGTCAAAAATTTGAACGTCAATGGACAAAGTTCCATCATCAGCTCCAACAGTGACATACTGTCAAACACATGGAGGCCCATTTTTGTTTTAGGCATAAATTGACTAACTAACTATAACCTAATCAATGAATAACAACATACATCCATACATAACAAAAGATGATCTTCATATCTTCATAGCATAAAGTATAATCTTACCGTTTTGTCGCCGACAACAGTAGTTGTTTTGCAAGTTCCATTTGTTAATTCAAGGCCATTAAGAGGCCCATCCTGAAGGTCATCAACAAGGAATGCTGGTGCTTCTCCCTATTGATCACAACCATAGAAAAATCAAATTAAATACCTGATAACAAAATCACTATGATCCACATTTTAACATCACAGTCTATTATATATGCTTACCATATAGAAATTTGTGTATATAATCCTGGTTTAAACCCTGACCTAAAACCATATAGAAAAAAAATATGAATACCATAACAAATATTAAGGGATCTAACTATATATTCAAAACTACCATTAAAAAGCAAAATCTAATTGAGAAAAAAAAAACATAAAAATGGGAAATTTTTAGGAGAGGTTGGATCAAAGTATGAAACAGAACAAACCCAGTTGATTAAAAACAAAAACAAACAAAAAAAGAACAAAACCCGGATCGCAATGTGAAAAAAATGAAATCTTGAAGAGGTTGAAACGGTGAACGTTAAAGTTATACCTTAGAGAGATTGAACCTTATATAAAAAAGATGAATTTGATTTTGGTAGAAGAGACCTAGGTTTTGTTGTTGTGTTATGAGAATTAAAATGGAATAGGGAAAAGGGGGAATGAAGAAAATGTGAGAAAGAAAACCATATTTGTAAGCGGAAGAAAGAAGAAAAGAAAAAGGGGCGGCTTTGATTTTACAAACCTTCAAGGGCAGGCAGGACCTATTTGGTTTCTGTTTTCTTGTGGGGTGCTTATGAAGCTTCTTTTTGTTTCTTATATTCATTTTGGTAAATTATATATTTCTCTTTTTATTTTTTTATTCTCTTAATTACAATTTGTTCATATTCTTTGAATTAAAAAAATATTAATATTTATTTTAAATATAATTTAAATATTAATACATTTATACATAAAAAATAATTCTTTAATTCTTATTTTAAAAATTATTCATATTTATTTTTAGGTTAACAGAATATTCTGATTTCGAATTCGAATTCAATGTGGCGATAAATTTTAAATATAACAATTTTGTTATTTGTTATAATAAATTTAATGGATTAACCTAGGCAGGAAGGGATATGGCATTAAACTTTTAAAATAACAATTTTTTTATTTATCATAATAAGTTTAATGGATTAACCTAGGCCGGAAGAGAATATTCAATTTCTATAAAAAGATTATTAATCAATAAATATATAATTGAATTATTTATGATGTTATTTACAATATGTCTATTTTTAATTTAATAATATGAGAATCATAAAAAATAAATTAAAAATATTTTATATTATTATTCAATAAAAAATCAATACTCTACCACATCATTAAAATAATTTTAAAACTTATATATAATTTAGTAAAAATACACATAAAAAGTAGGTTACCTTTGGTCAAAAGAAAAATAAAATAGAAAATGAGTATCTTATTCCTAGTTTGTGAGGTTTCCTTGCGGTGCTAGAAGTGCCGGTACAATTCAAGTGGTGAAGTTGGTTGACAAGTGGAGATAAAGCAACAGTTTTTAGAAGTGACGTAGAGAAATTTGTTTTCACAAAGTACTTTTTGATTACATACATTGAATATTTAAAAATTACACACATCTATGTGCCAAATCTACATAAATGATTGTAAAAAGCATAGAGGAGCGAGCCTCTTATGGCCAAACACACTCCAAGTGAACATAAACCATATCATATGGTTATAACAAAAGGAAATGAGTTGTAACAAAAGGACACTAGGGACATATATTCTAGTGAAACTCTTCCCCCACCCCACCCCAATATTTTCAATTATTTTAGAAATTCATTAAAAATTCAAAAACACTTTAAATTTTAGAACTCAACAATATAACAATAATATATTAACATAAATTTAAAAAATCAATTAAACACATATTAATTAGAAAGAAACAGACTAGATACTTCTTTATTAAATTTAACCATGCATGTTGAAATTTTATCGATATCATGGAGTAAAACAAGTTTGATTAGAAAAAACAAACAAATATTATTAAAGTAATGTTTACCTCGACCAGATCTTTGGTACGGTATCGACGTGGTTTAGTTAGTTCTTCATATCAAATGATGTAACTTTTGTTAGAGGTGTTTTTACACTATGGTTAGGTCAAAAGTAACACAAGTGTGAGAGACACCACATATTCACCCAAAACCTTAAGGTGATAGGTGTTTGGGTTCTCCCACTTATAAATACTCAAGTCACCACATTCATATCCAATGTGGGACTATTATCCATACTACTCACACTTGTTATATTATTCCCAACAATTTTAACATTGGTCTAAAACAACTATGGAGAATTCGCATTTTTGTATTAAATTGTAATAAGGTTAGAGTTTATTTTAATTGAGTATGGCAAAAAAAAGCCCATTGTTTGTGTTGTGAAGTTAAAGTGAACCAAATGCATCAAATTGTACAAGTTTATGTGCATTGTAGTACAGAAATTGTCGGTGCGTTTTTGAACATGTAATCTAATTTTGATATGGTTCATATTCTATGGATCCTATAATCTAAACTTAAAATTGAAGTGTTTTACACACGTTCGAATTCTATGATTTGAACATGCAAAATATCCCCTTCCCTCTCTCGTTTATGTCCTGGTTTTAGAATTTGAACTTGTATTTTATAACAAAATACTTGTTTTGCTTATATTTGAACTCTTGTGTGTAAAGCTTCGAGTCCAACAAGTGGCATTAGAGTCTAACTCTTGTTTAAGGACTAATCCTCTGTCGAAGAAGATGACTTTCGACAAGAGATTTTTTTTAAACACAACCACTTTATGAAAATAGTAGATATAATATTTGGCAAGTTAGGTTTAAAATTTTGAATTATGGGAAATTATTATCAAATGGTCTGTTTTTCCCTACTCGTCAAGTAAATGATAAAATAGTAGATAAACTCTTTTTCTTTGGACCGGAGAAAAAAAGAGAAAATTTTGAAATAAATTTCAAAACCAAAAGTATAATAACAACGCATTTTACTAACATTTTTTCACTGTGTTCATCATTGCATACCGCCTAGGAAATGTGGGGTGCTCTTGAACTGATATATAGAGATTCTCCAAGTATCAAAAAAGAGAAAATAAACACACGAGGCAAAGAAGATAAGCATGAATGTTTTTATAAATTTAAAAGTATTAGAAAGTTTGTTGGAAACTGCGTTATTGACAAATATCTTAGAATTAAGATTTGGAAGTTCAATCCAACTCTTAAATCAATAGATGGGAGCCTTCATGAATTTCAAGAAAAATCAAGAAAGAAGGAAATTGTATAGAAGATGAACAAACCAGTTCAACTAATCAAAGATAAGGAAATCCAAATAGAAGAATCATCATCTTCATCTTACTCCTATCATACAACTCTTGTACAATCCTTCAAAAGAACGCACTAGGTAGTTGAATGATCTTCAGGAAATTCAACATCAAATGGAGGATCCTCTTGCTCAAGAAACAAAAAAGAAGATGAAGAAATTTATTCAATACTCGAACAAAGAAAAGGAGGAGAAACATAAATCTCGGGGAGAATATAAAAGAATCATCTTTAAACAAAGACGATGAAATATGCTTAAGGGAATCCTACAACGGAGACATTGTTTCAAGTATCAAACCTTCTTATACATAGTTATACAAAATGAGTGGACACTTAGTGGATGAAAATGAAAAACTAAGAAAATGTACCCTAGATCTTAAGGACTACATCCTAAAAGGCCAAGTGGGAGAAAATGGGTTCTAAAGGTCCTAAGTTTCTTGGGCTCCTAGATTGAAAGTAGCAAATGTTTTCACGATTGCTCGCTCAACAAATACTACCCTCAACAGGGCCTCCACTGAGCGGGGGATTCTCAAGTCAACTTATTCGGGATTACTCCCTAAAAGCTAACTTGACTATACCATCCTTTCTAACTTAATTATATTCTTAAGTCTGAGTAAAGACTTATCTCACCACATAGATCCACTTGAAAACAAAAAGACCCAAACAACAGAGCAAACAATAATAGCAATACAAATATGACAAGTTAGGCTTAACCCACTAAACAATGATCCCCAGTGAAGTCATCATTTTCTGTCGTGATGAGAATCGGAGACCAAGGCTATATGATCAGCTTGGCTTGCAAAAATAAGATATCACCACCGAAATTTTATTTTTCCGAGGGAAGGGAGAAAAGATCGAACAAAAACCCTAAGTAAAAATGTAAAGCAAAAAGTAAGGCCTAAAGCTAAGCAAAGAGAAATCAAACGTACAGGGGTTGGTTACACTAATGGAAGGTACTAACACCCTAAGCATCTGCAGTACTCTACAGAAACCTCTTGAAATATTTGTATTTTGGCTAAAATTGTTTGTTAGGGATAAAGATGGGTAAAGAAAAGAAGAAAGGTGGAAAAAGAAAAAGGTGGCTCGCTAAGATCTCGCAATCTTATGCCTACGTATCCTTAATAGGAATTCAGAGTAATCGTAGTTTAGAAACTACATGTAAAAAGAATGGAAAAAGGGAAGAGTGTAAAAAAGGAAAAGAGTAATTGTCAAGGATTGGGACCTTGTGCCTACGTATTCTCAAAAGGAACTTGAGAAATCATAGTGTTTGTAGTTCGTGGAACTACGAGTTATTAGAGTTCTAAGAACCAAAATAACAAAGGGGAAAAGCTTGAAAGTTAAGCTTATGAGGATTGATTGTAAAGGTGAAGATATTAATGGTTATCTCTTATGAAAGGATTTGAATGAAGAGTTAAAGGTTGTAAAGGGGGAGAGATTAGTGGTTATCTCTATGACAAGGTTTGAAGGAGGAGTTAAAGGTTTCAAGAGATTAATGGTTATCTCTTTGAAAGGCTAATGGTTTGTAGATGAAAGTGTTTTAAAGTTCTAAGGTTGAATTAGGGTTTAGATGATGGGAAGTAAGGAATGCAACAGTTATGTACAAATGCATAAGTAAAGGATACTACAACTATATATATACATGCATATGAATGACAAGAAGTCACCAATGAATCCTTTCCCTTGGATTATGTACAATGAATTCACAAATATATACATGATGAACATATGAGATGATAAGATCAACAATATGAATATCAAGAAAATGAGACATTTTAATCACTAACATCAAACATTAAGCAACATAAACAAGTAAGTATATCATCATCAATCAAAGCAAGCTTATAATCAAGGCAAGAATCAATTATCAAGATAAAGAGGT